GACGCTCTTGCTCAGTGGGGAAAACTCCAACACACGACTGGCAAGCTGGGAAGCTATAAGCAAGCCTTCACCAGCACACCACCTCTCACCGCGAGCAACTCCAGAGTAGAAGAGAGTCCAGCCTCTCTCGAAGAGTTGGGTCCCAGAGCCCAGACTGTGCGTGGAGGTGAGCCCGACTATATCTAGTCGTATCGCTCAATTCCCACACGAGCTCAGGCTCTTTACCCCCAGCGAGGTGACATTCCATGTCCCCATAGCCAGAGTGGTTATCCAGGGATTGGGCCTTCGGGGTCTGCGCCCATGACCGCCACCCAGATCACAAAGCACTGACCCCTTGTGGGCCTTCCTGCGGGCGGTGGGCCTATTGGAAATCGGGCTCAGGTCGCTTGTTCGGCAAATTTTTGCACAAAGAAAATGTCTCTGTTTATATGTTTATGTACGAGTGATACATATGTCTACACATATAAATATATATGTAAATATATATTTACATATATATGTAAATATATATGTACATATATGTACACACTCATAATGTCAAGACATTCTCCTCACGTGATTTAAAGATCATATATTAATTAAAAAATTAGATTCACTTCTAACAGGCTCTGTCTTCACTGCTAATTACAGTTATTCATAATTAAACCTGTTCACAAATAATTCATATCTTCCTCATCAGGGCTAACAGCTAACATTTACATTTATCTACAGCCAAATCATCAAAAGCCCTGGGGACAGATATTCAAGAGTGGAAAATTCCGACTTTAAGTTGAAGCACCAACGGCGTAGAAACATTGAAACATTCCTCAGTTTGGTTAACACTAAGGAAAGGAAAGTGAACTCCTTGTCACTGCGACACAGCACACCACTTCACACTAAATGTGACCTCTACTTTCAACCCATCACCAAAGTGAACAGTGGGCAGGGGTGTGTGGGGACGGTGTCATGCTCAGAGCACCTCAATGGTAACTTGGCAGCTGCTGGACTCAAACCTGAAGCCTTCTGGACCCAAGTCCGCTTCCACTAAGCCACCACTGCCCCAGGTAATGGCCTGTAAGGGGATCAAACCGGCAACCTTGGCGTTCTAAGTCCATTTTTCAGTGAGGAACTACAGTGTCTCCGTCAGCCCCGCAGCTTCACAACCACATACTGAGAAACACTGAAGTTTGTTGGGATTTCAATCGTATCCTGAGAGTAAACTCTCAGCAAAGCAATGGCCATTCAATGTGTGTGTGTGTGTTGTTCAACCAAAACTTAACTCATCATACAGGCCACTGCATGCAAACAGCTTTGACAAGTACTCACACAGGGACACAGCTCAGCAGACATAAATACACAAAATCACACTCTCCACCATCCTTCATGGTGGGACTCTGTGGCTGTGTTCTTCCCGATCTCAGTGTGAACGTTTTTTTGTGTGTGTGTTTTAGACGACCATCTCTCGGCTCAGCCAGACCATCTGTTCTCCATGCTGAGGAACACAGCGCTCCCCTTTGGCCGAAGGCATTTTGAAGTGGTAGCAAACATTGTAGGTTGTACAGAGAAGGCCATGGGGAAAAACTCCAGGGCTTATATATTTATATAGAAACACACACACACACACACATACATATACATATATACACATACATATACATATATAAATATATAAACATATGTGTACATATATTCTATACACACACTGTATGTACTGTATAAACACCAAACATACATGTACATATATATTTACACATATACATACATAAATATACATGGTAAGGTGTAATGTGGGAGACTGTTTTAAATTTTGTATTAAAAATCAATAAAAATTGAAGATTTTTTAAAATATATATATAAGTCAGTGAAGTAATAAAGATATTTTATTAGGTTCATGTCCCGTAACATCCATTCTAATAAATTGCAGAACTTTATCTGATTTGAAAATCCTGTGAGGAATCGGGTTTTTGGACCTACAGCCATTTTCCCACTGGTTGAAAAAATAAATAAAACAGTAACACTCACTGACATCTGGTTTGTCTCTGCAGTGGGAAAGGATACAATCAGCATTTGTTCCCAGGTCAAATGACCCTGCAATAAACATACGATTTTTTTAGTTTTTCTTTATGGACACTGGCTCAGAGTGCCAGCAATGCAAACACGACACCTGAGTCAATGTGGTAATTTTTACCTTTTTTCTCTGTTATGTCTCTCGCCTGGCTGCACAGTGCGACCCTTTTCTAGTGTGACATTATAACACACACTTTTCAAGCAGTGATAGAAAATCATTCAACCTTGGCTGGAGTGAGAGGCGTAAAAGTGAGTACTGTAACACTGTCAGTGCTCTCCACGGTACTTTCAATCTGCTGTGCTGGTTGTTTACGACACATTCATGACTTCAAACATGAATCACGGGTGGGAAGAAACATGAGGGGCGAACTTCTCTCCTGGAGTCAATAGCTTTTCTTCAGCAGTTTAAAACCTGTTCCAAAGCAGCGGGGGAATATATACAGGCACTGGGCAGAACTGATAAGGTTGGCTTTAAACAACACCTGGGATTCTGTAAACCAATCTTTTCACAGGAGCACGTGGGTGTGACAGTGGCGGCCCACTGTAACTCACATCTGGTAAACTAAGAACGCCTGCACAACAGGATCGTCCCAGGGGCTCGGATTGATTGGACTGGGAATGCATGAAAAATTTTACACCTTAATTTGGTTTGTTTCACATTCCCACTGCATACCTGAAAAAGGAAACAACCGCATCAGACCAACTGGTCGTGAAACACTGCCACAAATGAGCATCTAGCAGGTCGGGGGAAAACAGCACGAGGGAGACAAACTGACAGACATCTCCATCAGTTAATGTGAAGACCTCTGTGTGGAGCTCAGTGACTACTGATTAAATATCAAAAGAAGACTACGACAACTCAGGTTTCAACTGATGTAAAACTTTACTCGTAAGGATCACAAACTAATGGTGTATATGAAACGCTTTTATTAACAAGTAACAACAAAGATTCTCTAAAAATGTACTGTATTCATGTGTGTACATGTGAGAGCAAAGAGCGACAGGACTTCATGTTAAAGTGTCCAACTGGTCTTGAATGACTTCCAGCTAAAAAATCAGAACAAGAGAATAAGGTTAGAATAAAAACCAAAAACAACAAAAAAAAAACAAATAGACACACACACACTTTTTTTTCAGTTGGCACTACTAACAGATGTAATGAATTATACTTAGTCTCAATTTTACCATATCAAAATTATACCTAGATATATATTTATATGTGTATATATATATATGTATATATATATATATATATATACACCTATGTAAATAGACAATGAGTTATGCACATTATATATATATATATATGTGTGTGTGTGTTCAGTATTTTCTATATATATTCATTCCATAAACACTCTGTTGAAAACAAACCTTTTTGAAGAATTCAATCATCTGCTGGTGGTTAAACTCAACAAAGACATTTTCCTGGACCTGGAGAGAGACAGACAGATGAGAAAAGGTACATTTGAAATTGAGCCATGGAAAAGAGACAAAACCAAATCTGACATGTCACTATTTTTCCATTTAAATCTGACAAGTCTTTAAAAAAAAGTTTATTTTTTTTTGCTTCTCTTCTTTTTTTCCTGGACAATATTTTACCTGAGAAAATATAAGGATTCCTCATTATCTCCGCCACAGTGTAAACCCCAGTGTGGGCTGAAGCCTCAGGTGTGTACAGTGCCATTAGGGTAGTTTACAGAAGACACGGGTCATAAAGCCAACAGCGCTTCATTGAAACGGTCAAACAAGAACTTGGTGACCATAAAGGCCATGTGACCTGGACAATAATAGACCATACTGCAGTCAGGCAGGAATCACAAGTTACTGTAATAACACAATTGCACTCTTAAAATAAAGGACAAATGTCATTTCTGGGCAGTAATCGTCACTTTTTGTATTATGTATGTATTATTTAAATTTCATGTTTTTTAACTGAATATTTTAGCAAACTTATATGACATCCTTAAAATGAACCTCAAAATAATAACTGTTTACTATTTAATTTCTTACCTCACACGACTAATACGGTTAGAAGTATAATCTGTATTTGCTCAAACTATGAAGAAAGAAGAGCAGTGGTGGGTTCACCATTTGGCTCACGGGCCAAAATGAGGTTTAAAATTTGACTTGAGGGCCAGTTCAGTATGGTTGGATGTGCAAGGTGGAATAATATAAATAACATGGACAAGAATTAACCAAACTTTTAAAGATAATTTGGCACATTCGACGTCTGCCGCTATTTAGTGGCATCAACAGAAGCTATGGTTGAGTCTTTGTAATGCATGAAACAGAAGTACTGACATCAGTCAACAACAACATCAGTTGTACCAGTTGTACCTTTGGTTGGCCAGATTAGAAAGCCCAGTGGGCCGTATTTGGACCACAGGCCATAGTTTGCCTAGGTCTGAAGAAGAGGGTAGTAAGAAGTGTGAAAAAAAACATTAAAATACCAAATTGTTGTTTTGCAGTATGCTTTTCAAATTTTCTTCATTGCACTTAAAGAAAGCTTGATGGAACTATTGATTGGAACAAAGCAGAAAAACACTGGGCTGCCATTCCTAAACTGTTATTATTATGGTCCACATTAACCAATCAGAAATAAAGGCTCAAGAAATGAAGTACAGGACAAAGTGTGTAGAGTGTTGAGCCACTTTATCAACATCCATTATTGTGAAAATGGACACATTATGTGAAAGGTCAACCGAGCTGCAACACCATCCGTTGATTACTGCACTGAACAACTGCTCCCAAGAAGTAAAAGAGCAGAGAAAGGAAATGGAAAATACATAAGTGAATAATAAAAAACTGAGACAACAAGCACTAGCGTGTCTGCTTCAGCTCAGAGAGACTGGATGAGGCTTCAGGGTTTGTTTGGTCGGGGTGGGAGTGGGTGGAAGAAGGCCATGTGTCACAGCAAATTATAAGGCCTGATTAATTAAAGGCAACATTAAAAGTCAATAAAGAAAAGTGCAGAGGGAAACTGTCAACTGTCAAAACCTCAACTTCACCACTGCCCCAAAGCAGAAGATTGTAGGGCGGCCTTTAGTTCCAGTTGCTGCAGAGATGTTCTGCCAACAACAACGACAACAACAAAAATGTAGGTTGCATGTTAAAAATGTAAATATTTATCTGAATGAAGTGTTGTTTGGCCACAGAGATGGAGGGAAAATAGTTGAACCTGCTGTGTGTTTCAACCTCACCTTAAACCCATTGATCTTTTCTACAGCAGTGAGGAGACACTGACACTGAACAATTACTTATTTAGATTAATGTGCTCTGTTGTTCTGTGGAGGTTCTGGGGAATCGGGGGAGGGGGGGGGAGGGGGAGAGGGGTTCACACTAACAAACACAGCTCAGTAAGAAGCCAACAAAGTCTAATGTGGACCAGCTGAGCTGTCTGCGGCAGTCTGACAGAGGTGAGGGAGGGGAGGCGGGGGAGGGTTTGAAACTGCAGTGGGTGAAATATGATGTTGATCAAAAGTGAACAGCAATAAAGTGAAACAACAAACTGTTCCTGGAGGATTTGGCGGTTTAAAGTGGTTGTTAGTGTTCAAGTGCAAAACATGACAACGAACAAGTTACGGTTTCCAGGTGCTGGGAATATGTGTGTGTATTTCTGTTTGTGTTCAGTCTTCCCCCGACCTTCTCCAGGGTTGAAGTTTTGCCAAACACTCACCCAACGAGGCTCTGACACAACTGGGCTGACACTAATGAGGACACATCATCCTCATCATCACTGAATCACAGCCACAGCCACACGTTCCACACAGACACATACTCATCCATTTAACACTTTTTGACAAGTACATTACAATGACTGACGGACAATCTATAAATTAAAGGATAATATGTATGCTTGTCTTACAGATCTATAAGTTCTAGATCTATAAGACAATGATTCAGGTTATTCCTTTTTCACTCCCCAAAAGACTGAGCAAAAGCACTGTGCCAAGAGAAAAGTCACGCCCACGCATGGAGAACCTGCACAACTCCACATTTAAAGATCTGGATTCAAACCGGTGACGTTCTTCCTGTTAGGCAAGAGCAATAACAGCTCTTAGATTTTGTGCTCTACACTTCATGCCACTGTAGAAATTTAGCCAAGGAAACCAGTCAAAGTAGGTGACTATAAATATTCTTCAAATATGAAACGTCTTCACTGCTGACAATCAGGATTAACAATTTTTAATGAACAGATTATTTTAAAAATGCAGCCAATCAGCTTGCACCAAGACCACTCCCTACAAAAAAATGTACTGTTCATGCCTGTGTAAAGCAGTGTGGTGATTGATGCCATGTTAAAATATGTATGGAAAAATTCCTCGCACCAAGTGAAGCATATTTCGACCCAAGTGCTGAATAACAAGCGTGGATCATTCCTCTCTTCTGATGATGGAAAAATAAAGCTACAGCTTGTCAAAGTTCACATAAAGTTCTTGTGTCCATTTGGACGTGGACAGTTCACAGCACAACTTTTTCCAAATTATTTTGAGGGAAAAGACTACATCTTGATTCTGTTCAACGTTATTTAACCAGTTTTATATAAAAAAAAAATGTTTACACCAGTTCCTCCAGCTTACCAGCCGTGCAGAGGATTATACGGGGCAGTGTAGGTGCTCTGTCACTTTGCTGCATTTTACGTCTTCTGGTGACAGTGAGCTGCATGATGTGTGTGTTCAAATAGAGCTCCTCACCTGTGAATGATCGATGACTTTTATCTGACAGAGGAAATCTGACAGTGAATGACACAAAGACTGAAAGAGAGCTGCTGGATTCTGGGAAACTCTCACCAGCAGCAAACATATTTATTTCTCTCCCTTTTTCTAAGAACCAATGACTGGAGAACATTTTAGGATTTTTTTTCCCCTCCCTGCCTTTAACTGTCGACAAATAATTTCCATTTACTTGTTTTCTTGCTGGGTGCATAAAACAATTTATTATCATCAACAACAGGGCATTTTGTAGCTGCTGTGCTAAAATACACTGCATAAAGAAAAGAGGGGTTTAGCTGTTTTATGGACATGTGAAAAAATGGTTGGAGGGTGGAAATAAACATGCATGTCATCATCACTGGATCTTTTTATTCAACGTAAATTAAAAAACAGGATTGGTTTTTACATCGAGTTGTGACAACACACCCGTCTGTTCGTCTATTTTCTTTAGTCTTTCTAATGAGGAGTGTATTTACGGAGTGCGGGAGAGAGGCGCAGGTATTTGTGTGTTACCTGAGTTCAGTGTCAGAAAACAACAGATTCTTTTGAAGGAGACAGCTCTGCCTCCTGATGACTCAGTAACAGACTTTGGTGCGTCAGTGCTACAGGTGCTCCTCTTTTATGAGTGTGAAGATCTGTCTGTCTGTCTGTCTGTCTGTGCCTCATTAAAACTACCAGAGTTGGACTGGTTTCAAATTTAAATTAGCCAAAGATTAAAAATAACTTTAAGAATAAAAATTCCTTTCTTGAATTTTTAATTTTCCTTTAAATAAATCTGTTACTATTTTTTGGAAATTATGCCTTTTAGTTTCCCTTAAATGTCCTTAAAGGAATCTTAAACCATTGCGAGATGAAATGGAAAACGTATAGAAATAAACTAAGTTTTCATCTGAGAAAAACAAAGTTACTAATGATTTCAGGCCATGAAAAGTTCAAAAACAAAGTAAAAAACAATTTTTACTCTACCCTTTTTGTTAACCTCCAAAATTAATTAGTTATAGCCAAGTACGAGCTCCACTAGTTTAAGGTCAGGTTTAATTAACTCTGCTACAACAGTCACTGCAGTGTTTAGCTTTCTGTGAATTATTCAGGAAACACTTTTCACAGAGCTCTGATGCACCAGTCGTCAACAGAAAACACAAACAATTCTTCAAAAACTCCAAGTGTGTGCTGTTTAATTTTCCCATGACCCTTTGATCCCGCGACTGGTCAAAACCAGCCTCTAGGAGCCACACATGCTCTCCACATTGATGCTGAAAGAGAGGCTCCACCAAGCAGTAACTGCATCCACCATGATGCCCCATGGCCGTCTCACAGTGACAGATACGAAACCTCAAAACATCAGCCATTCACTGAAAGCTTGTCAACTACAACAAATAAGAGCTGTCAAATTCAAACACTGAAAACTGTCAATCACCTCTGGTATTTTTAACTGAAACCAGCACATGCAGACGACGAGAAGAAGAGAGAGGAGACGAGAGGAGAAGAGAGGAGAGGAGCCGAGGAGAGGAGAGGAGACAAGAGGAGAGGAGAGGAGCTGAGGAAAGGAGAGGAGCCAAGGACAGCAGAAGAGAGGAGAGGGTGAGAGGAGAGAAGCCAAGGAGAGGAGAAGATAGGAGAGGAGAAGAGAGGACAGGATGAGAGGAAAGGATGAGAGGAGAGGAGCCAAGAAGAGGAGAAGAGAGGAGAGGAGCCAAGGAGAGGAGAAGAGAGGAGAGG